TACGAGTCCGTTCAATAGCTCACTTTTCCTTCGGCGATGAAGGATTCTGGAAGACTTACCAGACAAAGATTGTAAGAGGTTGTTTTTAGATGGTTCTATCAGTTCTACTGGATTTCCAAAGAAGGCTTACTCTGCTCAGTCCATACATATAGCTTATATAGACTTCAATACTCAACTTAAGATAGAAAGCGATTCACCTAAAATAAGCCGTCCCGTTTTTCCTTTTGAAACATAGTCGCTCAAAACGTGTAGTCCGATAGCTCACTTGTATTCTCCAAAATTCTCATCAGTTCTTAAATTTTTACTATTCCTAAGCAGTCCAGTGGGTTCAGAGATTCTCCTGGAGTGCAAATTAGTCCCCTTTCTTAGCATTACCTTGAAAACAATGGATAAAATATACGCGAATATTTACTTGTTTTCTTTAGCGTATTAAAGTGCCTTCTTTCTTTTCTTCCTTTAGTGACAGAGGATGAAATTCGACGAGGGATAATCGACGCTACTGGAAGGGACAAGCACTGCTTCTGGTTCAAGAGAGTAATCACTGATATCGGTGATTTTGTCGCACATCCCAAAGCTGGAAAGTTTGTTGACAAAACTTGGGGAAATCCCTCGTCGGTCGATGAGTCGGCGCAGACGTTGCTAGCAAACCTCAGAGAAAAAGATCTTCCTGAGGCGTTGAGCAATAACAGCATTATTCACTATGATGTCAAATGGCATACTAATGGTATCGATCCGAGTGCTTCACAGGAGCACAGGCAATACATTGAGAAGCTTTGTACGGATTTTTATGACACCTTAACTGACAGAATTGAACGAGGTATCGCGGAAGACCAACTAACCCACACAGAGGATCTTTTGATTGAAGAAGTGTTCCAACATGGTTCGTTTTGTAGGAAGAAATGTGAGATGTTTCAGGGCCGAGACGAATTTTTGACCGAGGTGAAAGACACAATCTTGCAAAAACGAATTGCGGTGTTGCATGGGGAATCAGGTTGTGGGAAGACATCTTTGATGGCTAAAATTGCCATGGATGTGAAGAAATGGCTCGGTGGAGAATCGGTTACAGTGGTGACTCGATTTATTGGAACAACTCCAGATTCGTCCAATGCAAGATCATTGCTACACAGTATCTGTCAACAAATTTCAAAGGCTAATGTGGATTCCCAGGGTGCAACAGTGCCGCAGGTGAGTGATGTTTGTAAGTAATCTGGGATTGCATCTGTAAAGTTTTTCTTTTCCCCAACACCCTAACCCTAACCCTAACTCAATTATCACATTACAAATTAAAGCCAATCGCGATTGCAATTTTGTGGCGTCTCTCTCCGCTTATAAGTACTTATTTTGGCTTCTCAATGGCTCCTTACGGTTACTTTATTTGCTCTGACTGGCTTTGATGATTACCTAAGTCTTTTTCGAAAACCGCTCCAATTGTTTTTAGCTCTATGTAGTGTGGAGTGGTTTTAAATGGGTCATCTAATGTTTACCTCATTAGTAACCATTAAAAAGAGAAGACACTGCTCAAAAATTCGCAAACTATAGTTGGCGCTTTCCAGATTCCAAGTATCTCAAAGAGTTACACGAAATTCTTTAACAAAATGGGCTAATTAATTTTCTTCAATAGGATATGAAGTCTCTACTGGAATTTTTCCCTACATGTTTGAAAGAAAACGCCTCGTCGAAGCCTATCATCTTGGTACTGGACTCCCTGGATCAACTGTCGGATGATGACGGAGGTAGAGAGGTGGACTGGGTGCCCAAGGAGATACCGAAAAATGTTTATATGATTGTGTCAACACTTCCTGGAGAAAAGTACATTTGCTTCCCCAAGCTTCAGGTAAATGCCCGCGTTTTAATGTAGAATGTCTTTGATCCCATTAATAAGGTTTTCGTTAACGAGCTGAATGCAATTGTTTAACACTAAACTTGTGAGAAATTCAGGGAGACCTACGCAAACTGCCAACCCCCGCAGGCTATCACTTAAGTAACTTGGTACATAACAACCATTTATTTTTGACCTTCGAAAAAAAGAAAATATATTTTTTAATGTCAATGATGTCAGTTCATGCTAGGAAGTACAGCCGCACATAACGATCTCTCACGTTATTATGTTAACTTTATTTAACTCTAGGAAAAATACGAGGCCTCTGTCCTTCTAGAAGTTCCAAAAATGCCTGTCGACACAGCGAAGCAAATACTTAAGAACTGGTTCAAATCAAGTGGACGACAGCTGCAAAGTGAGCAAGAAAAGATTGTCTTGGAGGCCTTTGAAAAGTGTCCGTTACCTTTGTATCTAAAATTATGTTTTGATGAAGCCTGTCGATGGAAATCCTACACGACTCCAAGTGATACCAAACTGACGCCATCTATAAAAGGAATAATTCATGACCTTCTTGACCGTGTTGAGAGACTTCACGGTAAAATCCCTGTAAGCCAAGCTTTAGCATACATTACAGCGTCTAGGAATGGGTTGACAGAGCCCGAGCTAGAGGACATCTTGTCCCTGGATGATGTGGTCCTTAATGATGTCTATCAATACTGGACACCACCTATTCGACGGCTGCCTCCTCTACTGTGGATTCGAATCCGATCCGACATTGGAGACTACCTCATTGAACGAGGTGCCGATGGCGCTCGAGTCATTAATTGGTATCATCGGCAGTTCACAGAAGTTGCTCGCGAGCGCTACCTTGGAGACGAACAAGCAGTAGTTGGGATCCATTCAAACATGAGCGAGTATTTCCTCGGCGACTGGTCAGACGGCGTGAAGAAGTCTTACGTGGACAAGGAGGGCAAGAAAATGGCTGTGGATCGACTGGTGCCCAAACAGCCGCTTATGTTCGATGTAAGTGAAGAAAAACCCATCTTCAATTTGCGCAAGCTGAGTGAAGTACCGCATCACCTTCTTCATTCCAAACAAATTGATAAGCTCAAGCAAGACACGTTGTGCAACTTCGAGTTCCTTTTAGCCAAGGTCCAAGGTAGTTCTGTGGAAGCAGTGCAACAAGATTTCAATGCCGCTCTTACCCTTCATCCAGACGACAGGGAGTTTGACCTCCTCCAAAAATGCTTCAGTTTGTCAGCACACGCACTCAGGCAGGATCCTCGTCAGCTGTCTGTGCAGCTCATAGGTCGCCTATACAAGTACATGCAAAAGCAAGAATGCCCATTTCTGAAAAAGGTGTTAATAGCTGCACATACTCCATCTGTACCTGCTTTCATCCCAAACCAACAGTGCTTGACACCCGCTGGTGGCTCTCTGATAAATTCCATATCAAATGAGGAATTCCACGGCGGTATCGAGCATGTGAATTTTACGAGTGATTCCAAGACAATCGTGACATGTAATCGAGGCTCAGAAGGACTTTGTTTGCTTTACGTTGATGTGAAGAGTGGCAGGAGGCAGAGAAAGGTTTGCTTCGACTCTTCCGATACGGATGTAAACACATGCTGTTGTGCAAAGATAAGTAAAAAGAACGACGATATCTTTATCGCATCGGGGTCCTCGGCCAATATGTACCTTATCAACGCGAGGGCGAACAAGATTTTACAAGAGTACAAACCCATGAAGGATCAAGGGAACTGGTTCCGAGGATTTCCTTCCGTTGCGTTTGCCGAGGATGATAAGCTGATTGTTGCCCTTGGGGATTCCGGTGTGCGAATCTGGGAGACTGCAAGCGGTAAGCTTCTTCATGACGTGAATGTCAAAGGCATCAACGTCGAAGAAGAATTTGGATCTTTGGACGCGAACGGAGGACTTGCTGTTTATTGCGTTCGCAACACAAAGACGGTTCACGTTCTAAATGTGAAAACTGGAGAGGAAGTTCGCACGGTAGGTTCTTGCTTCATATTTGAGAATTTACTTTAAAGTTCGTGACCGTGAATAGATGACGCTTTGCGGTTTGGCTGCAAAGGACGATTAAATTGATCAATATTTGCCTCCAGTTCAATTTGTCAATCTTTTTTTTACCACTGGATAGGTAACGGTGTTAGGCCTGAGTGGAGTCCGATTTGGTCTGTTATCATACGAGTTATAACAAAATCAGACGACTGCGCAGCGGGAGTCCGATTTATTTATCACGAGTATGATTACCGACCGAATTGGACGACACGAAGTCTTATTACCAATTAACCATAAAAATTACATTTCCGAGAAAAGAAGAGAAGCTGAGTTGCGAAAGAAAGGGAAACTTTGTATTAAAAGACTGAGAAAGGAGGCGTAAATTTTTTAATATCGTTCTAAAATTGACTACTTTGACAACTTTGAATGTGATTGGTTGAATTAAACCACAACTTTGAATGTGATTGGTTGAATTAAACCACAACTTTGAATGTGATTGGTTGAATTAAACCACAACTTTGAATGTGATTAGCTTATTGAAATGTCCGATAACAAGCTGTCCGACTTGGCAAGTTAATTTGTAGAAGAGTTTTTAAAACAATCACAATCGAGGAAATTGTAATTTTTATGATTAGGATTAGAGAGCCTTGTCCAGGTGTATGCTTGTCTTTCCACTTATCACTTAGTTCTCATTACCTCCGACTCTAATATTGCCATAATTAAGTTGGTCATCGCCTGAAACGTCAGTTTTAAAGATGCCTCCCCCTCGACTACTCTACTTTACTTGCCCACATAGTTTTAAATCTTTGCAGGCACCATCCTACCATATCACGGCTCAGTTAAATTCCAGGAACTGAATATTGTTTTTAGGATACTTACTCCAACATTCACTTTCAGATAAACGTGGCGTTGGACAAAGAGGAGATCCGAGGGGAGATGCAAGACACGAAAGTAAAAGAAATCCACCTTACTTCCAGAAAGCAGTTACTTGTGGTATCAGAAGCCTCTGTTAAGTCACAGCTGAAGGTCTACAATGCTGAAACGGGCGAGTACGTTTTAGACCTCAAAGAGTTTGGAATCGGTTACAACAACCGCCTCATCGTAACTGAGGATGGAAAGAATGCGATAGCTATCAGAAACAATTATGAATTGGTGAAGTGGGAAATTCACACGGGCGAACCTACCATCGTAGCGAGGTTGCAACCAGCATTTGGTACTTATGGACGTAATGGAGATGTCGTGGCAACTGCCGGATCAGATGGAGTTCTTCGGGTCTACGATACAAGAGAAAATGTTGATGAGGACGAGACGGATGTCACAGCCACTACGGCAGGTTTTGCTGATTCAATATGGACGCTGACAGTTGCGGCAGATAACCGGCATGTGATTGCCAGCTGCACTGTGAAGATGATGCCTGAAATTGCCGTGTGGGATGCTCTCGCTGGGGTCAAAGTCCGCTCTATCAAGGCTATGAACTTTCCTCAGCCACTGCACATGATAGACGATAAGGTCGGTGTTGGTCGAATGGCTGTTGGAGAAGCTACAAAGGATCACTTTGATCACTTCAAGTTACTTGACTTTGGTCAGGCGAAAACGACTCGTGTTTTGCAAGGGAAAGCCAGCAAAAGACTGAATGCTGTTGGATTTATAGACAAAAAGAATTTCATGGGGCTGTCACGTGGCAGACGGCATTTAAAAGTTTGGAACGTTGACACAGGCAAGGTACGGAAATATTTGATGTTTTACAGTCTTTTTATTGCTATAGAAAATCAAATAGTTGGTTGGTGACAAAGAGAGAATTATGAACTCCTCTCTTTACTTTCCAGAACTAAAACTTCAGCACCTCTCTTTTTTCTATTCACTGTGTTCACACAACATTCATGAGATAGCTTCTCACAGCAATATGCAGGACCTTTGTCGCATATAAACCCTTTTATGGCCTAGCTTACTAGCCAAATTCTCAGTAGCTCAGCGGTAGAGCACCGGAGCGCAAGCCGCAAAGGACTAAGGATCGATTACCAAAATGACCTCTCTTCCAAGGTTGCTGAAATAAACGCACTTCGAAACCCACCCAGTTAAGCTCGTAGTCAGTGCATCATTTATCTCCTTGGCTCAAGACATAGCTTCGGTTTGAATTACACTGTTTTGAAATAGTGTAATTAATCCCATACCCCGCCCGCTAAAAAAAAGACACAATACATCAGAGATTACGAACTACTTAGAAAAAGTTCCATGCCCTTACCGTGACTGGTAAAAATTAGGTGGAGAATTCTTATGTCGTAAGCTGTTGGTTAATCAATATTTATTTAACGTGCAGGTTGTTGGACAATATAAACTTGGCCAGAAGTATCGCCTTGAGGGGATCTTAATCTGCAAAGATGGCGGCACGGTGATCTGCTCTCAGGCCAGCTTCTACGTCGAGCAAGAAGATCAAACAGTTCCCCTTTTGGTTTTTAACACCAAAACACACGGGCACAAGACTATGGAACCCATTAAAGACGAGCAGTTGGGATTGGATGGTTCAGCTATCACTGAGGATGGTAAATACTTCATCTTGCAGCTTAAAAACGACCAGGTAAGTGCAATATGGAACACAGAAACCGGCAAGCTGATGCACACCTTAGAGGAAGGCTCAAGTGGGAGGAATATGGTTGCAATATCATCGAAAAGCATGCTCGCCTTAACAAGCCACGAGAGCCTTAAAGTTTGGGAGATTCAAACTGGAAAGCTGGTTCACGACCTCTTTGCCACGGACATCGACAAAATTTATCTCAACGAAGAAGGCACAATCGCCATTACCACTGATTCCAAGGGGTATCAGCCCCCATCCTTCGAGGCTTGGGATCTGATAAAGGGCAAGAAGCTCGCCTCCTACACCGTCGACACAAATCCGTCTGCAATCTGTCCTCTCGGTGATCACATCGTCTTCGCAGCACCAGCTAGTGTTACAGTTACGACGCTCAGATTGCATATTCCTGGAAGTGAGGAGAAGAAGCCAGCGCTTTCCTCGTATGGCGACCACGTAGAGCTGAGCGAATTTAAAGGAATGATGGGTCCCTGTGATCCTAATGATGATGACGACGACGAAGATGATGATGATGGCGATATTCAATAAACGCAATATGACTCTAACGTAATCTTAGAATTTTAAGTCATTCGTTGTACTCTTCGTTGCATGCAAGTTCTAAATGCTGTACCCAGATCCTAGTTGCTTGTTTTGAAATGCCCTAGGCAAGCAAGATGTTAGTCGAACTGTTAAATGATCTACCAGTTTTTCAATCGAGTGGCGAAAACATTACGGGATTGCTTGGACTAAACTATATCACGCATATTATAATGCAACGCAGACCTAGAGGCAAAAGAAATTTAAGATATTGGACGATGATTACGACGTATTTATCGTTAAACCACAAGAAGCTAAGTGCTAGTATTAGTTACGGTAAACTAAAACTGAACCTGAAACTCAGTGAATGATAGAATTTTGTTCACAAGCTTCTGTTTAGAGATTGAGTAGATTCTTAGTTTTCACCAGAGAGATTGTGCCAGGTGACAAAAAATTCTACTTTTTACTAAATTAAAATTGCTTTGTGGTTTTCAGAAAGATCACTTCCGTAGAAGCTTTCGATGTCAGTTAAGATTTAAAAACAAATGTCGCTGAGTGTAATAAATCTGAGGCATTTGCCATTAAACAGAAAAAGCCGGTAAGACTTCTCATAACATTTTGCACGTATCTTACAAGAAACATACGCGATAAGGCTGCACGCAAAATAACGAATCCAACACAGTATTTACGTTAATTACCAACTTAGTTCATAATACCAAAGTATCTTGATACACCGTCCTACCGACGCAGCACCACAGTTTCTTCAGGAACTTACCCCCTTTATTCACAGCGGTCAAAAGTCGGGCATGCGCAGGGGCCAGGTATGGCCAGCCGCGCGCCAATTTCCCGCGGAAGATCCGCTGTCGCGCGAAGTATGCGAAAGAAAAAAAAACAAAACGTTCATGGAAATCTGTAAATAAGGGTAAACGGAAACTCAAACTTTTCGAACATTAAGCGATTCAATCGCAGGTATCCTGTTGACTTGCCACTGCGTTGTGAGTTTTATAAAATTAGGTGCGCAGTTTTAAAGTAGCTAGCTGGTGGAGTTGTTCATAATTCCTTCATGAAAACTCGGTCCTGACAACACAATCTCAACCTTTGCACATGCGTTCACGTATGACCGCTGGGTTAACAAACCCAAACTTAGCTTGTGTATCTAACAATTTTTCGAGCCCACGATATCATTTGAGTCAGCAGAGAAGTTAAAACGACTCCATCGCTTAGAATCGCCATCTGTACACGCGAAAGATAATTAAACCTGAGGTCATTATTTAAGTATTCATACCGGAAGGAAGTGATCGCATCGATTAAGATAAAACCTCGAGGTAATTTCAAGAATGCTCAACAAAAATAGATCATCCGTACCTTTCTCTCACACTCTTTTTGACCTCTTAAGAGTATTTTTTGTAGATTTTATGGGCTGCCGAGCGTGATTTAAAGAAAAAGTCTTTCTCAGTGATGTATGCCACGGAAATTACGTGCGCCCTAACAAAGAACTACTAAGTTGTAAGCGGGTTGAATCGCTATAAACCCGGAAATTCTGACGTTAACACAGCACGATTCATTTTTTTTTTCATCCAAAAAGAATTTGTTCTAAGCTTCTTTTGTAAAGATAAGAATAACGATTGTCTCAGAAGAAACTTCTTTTGAACTCATTAGACCAGGAAAACATTGTTAGGTTGGTCACGCGACACTGTTCAGTGTTGCGTGACTTAAAGAAGTATGTCAATAACGAATAAAAATGGTCACTTTGGATCAGAAGCAACGGTGAATTTTATAATATTAGAAGAGAACTTAGCTTTTCAGGATCCAGAGCTCATGTATTTGCAATAGTAGGCGAGCTCAAGAGATAAAACCATTAAGAGTTTGTCACGCGAACGTTCCGTTGCACCCGTAGTGACTCACGGGAGGAAATAGCGGAAGTTACGCATGCGTAAGTTGTGGTCGTTATTTCTACTTTTTTCAGTCTTACTTAAACGGAGACTTGTTTGGGCTACAATAAAGCAATCAGAAGATGTAAAAGCTCTATTTTTGGAACAAGAGTTTTCGATCGTATTGTTTTCACTACTGGAAGCAGGATGGGGGATAAATTGAATCCAGCTCCCAAAGAAAGTGGTGGCGGCATTGTAAGTTCAGTCAACATCTAATGTTGCTTATTTTCCTTAGACTAATCGTAAATTAAATTGGTGACTTTCGTGGTCTGTATGGTCTAAATTGCCCTTAAAGCTGCAGTGATTATTAACGCAACCGATTATTTTTTAGCTGAATCGCATCACGTCAATGCGAAAACAGACAAAGAAGAGCAAGGAGAAAGATTTCAACGGCCATAAGATGAAGGAGCGTTTGAAGAGCACTCAGGAGGAACCGCTGTTTGACCAAGACATGGAGGAGGAGATTGAAAGAATCAGGCATTTATCGCCGGAGGAATTCAACAAAATGTTTGAGAAAATGCTGGTACGTCATTATTGAAGATCGTCTTCAAGTTAGCACCTTTCGCGAAGTTTCAAACTATGTTTGCAATTGTGATAACACACCGTAAATTCCGGTCCTTCGGGCGATGCGTTATGCAAATTACTTTCGAAATTTCTGGGGTGATTTTTTTTGTAGCACTTACTCTAATCACAAACAATCAAGTTTTATTGTAGTGGCTCAGACGTATTAATTTCTTAATATCCTCATTTTTTTAAGCGGCAAAAACGTGGCGCGGCATTGTAACTATTCACCTCAAAAATATCGCCCGTATTTTCGTGCATGTGAGCATTTAAAATAATATTGGATGTTGCTAAATTGTAAATGTCTGCTCATTAGAGCTGATATTCAGAGAGATTAAGCTAACTTCAATATTCAGGTTAAATTAGAAATTATCTTTATTTCATCTAAGTCTCTGCATGGATAAAATTATCATATTGCTGTGTGTTGAAAAACTAAGTCCGTTTAACCGTAATTTACGTTTGCAACTCTCCATTACTTTGTGTAAACAAGTAAATATATTCTGCGACTGATGTTCAAAGGTTTGATCGATAGCAGTGTCATTCTTCAATGCAAGGCACGTACCAAAAAAAAAATTGCCAAGTTCTGTATTGAAAGAATATAGAATGTTTTCTAGAAGTTGGTGGCTTTACCGTTTATGTATCAGATGCCTTTTTGAGGCTTTCTAATGACTTGTTGTTAGAGAGGTATTAACCCACAACGGCCATTAGGCTACAAGGTCATATAAGATATCTGCTTACATAAATGCATCATTTTATGCAGTTGTACATAATGTCACTGATAGCTTTTGTACTTTATACAACATACTTTTAAAGACAACTCCTTGTTAAATAACTTAATGCCAAGCCCTGTCTTATTTGAATTTGCCCTGTCATGTATTACTACTGAAGATAAAATTTTTACATATGTCAGGAAGTTGTTATTACATAGCACTTAGAAGTGTGCCAGATATATATGATATCTGTGAGGTCCACCATTATTTTGTGAGTTTTGTTTTGGTGAGGGTTTCGGAAAAGAAAACTAGAGAACTTTGTTTACCATTTTGTGAGCTAGGCAGAGAAATGAGGAGTTATAAGCACTCCAGATCTACAACTTTTACATTTAACTCAAATTTCCAAAATTGGTCTGCCACTGGCAGCAGTAAACATGTTGGAAAATGTATTAAATTAGTGATACAAATTTTTGGATGAAAACAATTTTTGGTATCCCTCAAGCTCACTGCTGCTGAAGTGGGTTTATCATATGTCAGTGTAGTTCTTGATATTGGATGACCTCGCCAACTCTAGTTAAACGGTTAATACTGATCTGAAAAAAAAAACTGTTTCTCTCCCTTTGATATATAGGAGGACATGAACCTGTCAGAAAATCTACGGGAACCAATTCGCAACAGAGAAATGGAAACAAAGGTGGATATGTTGTGCAGCTTTAAAAGGAGACAAATGGCATCACAGGTAAAGTGATAAATGAAAGCAAGTAATGCTGACACACTGCATGCTTGAATGTACATGAGCATGTTCTTTCATTATTAATAATTACCTTTACAATTTTCTCAAATGTGATTGGTGCATGAGCTGCTTTATTTTTCACTTTTCATTCTGTAAAGTTGTAATCCAACAGTATAATCAGACAGGTGGCTGTGATCGAACGTTTTTTTCTTGATCCATTTTGATTAATTGGTAACAGGACTTTGAGTTGTCTAATTCTGTTGGAATCATACTGGTAATTGACAAATTAGTCTCCTGCTATGTGATTATCTGACTTCGTTAATCACCTGTATGATTACAGACTGAATTGGACCCCACTCAGTCTTATTACCATTAATAATAAAGGTAATACAACTGAGTGGCGTCCAACTTGATCTGTAATCATAGTGGTTCACAAAATAAGACAATCGCAAAGGGGGAGCCTGATTAATCATGAGTGTGATTTCATTCTGAATTGGATGACACCAAGTCTTGTGACCAATTAATCAATACTATGACAAATTTGAGAAAGAAAATAGACATTGCTTATATTTTTTCATTAAAAAAAAACCTACAGTTAACTCTCTGAAATGCATGACAGCAATGCATGCTCATGATGCATACTGTCCATTTAGACAAGCATGACATCTCAACTGTAATATTACATTGTCCAATAACAAGCATGACGTGTTCACTGTCCTCTTAGTACTTAAAGCGGGCTGGTGATAACCAATCGCATTTGAGTATTTTGTTACAGTTTTGATTAATTGTGTAAACGTGACAATATTTTACGATGATTATTTTCTTACATTCTTTGCATCTGAAGAAAACTTCGCATGCTGGGCCGACATCACCAGATGATTATATAAAGGAACTCAATAAGTCAGACATGTCACCTGAACATCTCTTGAAAACACTGCAGTCTGTGCGAGTGTCACTCACAGGGAGACCACTTAGGTAGGTTGGTTATCCTGTGCTCTAAGTAATTCTTAGTTTGTCAAAGTAGTTGAGTGGTGTTAAGAACTCAATATGGCAGAAAAAAATGTACATTTATTGGAAATGAGCAGGTTATCTGTTTGATGACAGGTGAATTTTTCCCTGGTTGTAAGGCATTGAGCCAATCACGTTTTTTGAGGGAGAGGGAAGGTAGTGTCCTCATGGAAAACAAAATGATGAAATGTTCATATTTTATAAGTTCAACCATACTTTACTTTTGAGGAGACTTGCATTAAAAATGTAGGATGGTTGTTTTTGCTTAATTATTTTGGTTGAGAGTTTAAAACCAACCCCTCAAAGTTGTCTTTACAGCAAGTCTATTTCCCCCTCCCTAATCCTTAACCCTTAAACTCCCAAGATCTGATTGCTAACTCTCCCCTTCAGTTGCTACACATTACCTTTTAAATGAGGTATGAGAATTTGGTGTTGGATCAAGATAACAACTTCTATTTGATAAGTTTGGGTATTCTTATTTCCTGTCTGCTGGTTAACTTATGGATATTAAAGGAAGAACTTACATGTTAATCACTTGGAAGCTAAAGTGTTCATGAAATCCCTGGCTCGATCTTAAGCCTCTATGACATTATCAACTTCTTAATTGTTAGTTGGATACAAGAGTTTGGTGAAGAAGGGCTCCAGTGCTTAATCAAACACCTGAGAGATTCCTGTTCAAAGGAAGGAAACATTGATAAACGAATACAACACGAGTGTGTGAGGTGTTTGAAGGCCTTCATGAATAACAAGGTACATGTAATATGAACATCAAACAAGATTCACAATCATCAGTTTGTTAGAGTTGGTGACAAAGTCAATTAAGGAGTTGGTTGTCATTTGAATGTTAGAACCCACATGGCCATCAGTATCACTGCAAAACTGACCAATCAATTTTCATGAACCAAGGTACAGTTATTCAAAGGGCTGATAACCTTATGCAAGAGATAAGTTGCTATCCCAAAGATAAGTGTCAACAAAATGTACTGTGCTATCTACTGAATAAGGATTTATCCAATCAATGGTGTTATTCACCTTTCAAACAACCAGTGCATGATATGTAACATCTCATTGACAAACAACTCCTGGTTTAAGGCTGATGATGCCTTCCACTCAGAAAAGTCAGGCATGTTCCCAAACAACTGACAACAGGAACATTTCTTGACAAGCATTAGGTTAATGATTAGACTACAAGATAATCTGCACCACGAGAAACTGATATTTAATTTTAATTCTATGGTGGAATGCAGTGGATTTATTTTTCTACCCAACCATGCAACAATACACATAACTTTTGTTCGAAAGGATCTCCAGTTTTCTCAATCATTCCTTTGCTCAATAGTATGGTCTCAATATGATGTTAAAAAGTGACGATGGTTTGGTTTTGCTGGCGAGATCAATGGTTCCAAGCTATCCCAGTATGATGGCTGATGTTGTCAAGGTGGTAGCTGCAGTGTGTCTTGTCAAGTAAGTCAATCCATACATACAGGAATTTGTTCTAGAAATTGGTCAAAGAGGGTCCAATAGGCCCCATTCTTTGATTATTGGGGGACCCCTGTCAAAAAGGGACCCAAATTAGGGGGTACTCAAAAAGGTGTTGGAACTTATTTGTACAGGGTGTATTGTTGTTAGTGAGAAAACAAAGAAGAGAAAGGCAATTGAGATGGTAAAAGGCAGTAAGTTAAACTTTACTTGCACTTTTGTTCGCAGACATGATAAAGCCCTTGAGGCAATCACTCGCTGTGGAGAGCTTGAAAAACAGGGAAGATTTGTTAAGCTGGTTGAAGCACTAGATGACGATCACACAAATCTAAAGGTGAAACCTCTTACCTATATGTTCATTGTTTGTATTTCTTTGTTAGTAAGAGTAGTGTTTTGTTGAGTGCCATGAAAATCAACTTGGATTTAAATGGATATTTTTAGTCATGACCCTGACCCCTTCACACTTTCAAAGAGTCATGATTTTAATCAGATTTAATTTGTCCATCATTTCTTTAGGTTGCTTGTGTACAACTTATCAATGCCCTTGTCAGTACTCCAGATGAATTGGATTTCAGATTGCATTTGAGAAATGAATTTGTTAGGGAAGGCTTGAATGAGCCATTACAGGTATAGCAAGGAGAGCTTATCAATCTGTCTATTTGTGTGTGTTTCTGTCTCTCTTTGTTTGTTTGTTTGTCTGTCCACCTTCTACAGGTTTATCTCCTATTTTTCTATCTTATCGATAACTATCTCTGTTTTCATTAGTTATCTACCTCTGGTGTACTTGCCTTTCATTGATTTACTTGCTGTTCAACTCTCTATTATGGGTTGGTTTACCTCTGTGCCTTCCTCTCTTCAGGTCCATCAATCTGTCTTTCCTGTCAACTGTTCATCTATCTTTTATACTGGTCTGGTCTATTTAACTGTCTTCCTCTCTGTCTATCTGTCTGTTTAACAACCATTGCAACTTCACCAGGAGTTTTATAAATTGATGTTTTTATTTGATATTTTTTAGGAGCTTAGAGATTTAGAAAATGATGATTTGAATGTTCAGTTGGACATTTTTGAAGAACACAGAGATGATGACTCTGCTGAATTCCAGCAGAGATTCACTGACATAAAAATAAACTTTGAGTATCCTTCACATTTCAGTATAAAGCATAACTAGGGCATGAATAATGGCCAAGTGTCTGCTCAAGAAAGAAGTACCATACCTCTATTTTGTTACAGTCAAGAATTTTGTGTGTGTTTCACTGAACTTGTTAAAAGTAGAAGCATTTAAAAACTTGGTATCAGGTCTGTGTTCATGTTATCTGAGATAGCTAGAGAGCCGCAGAAGGAAATTAACTGATCATTTGTCTTCATACCTTTAACTTTTGCCTCGAAGCAAAAGGAAGACCTGTGAATTTAATTTTTGTCTGAAGTGTTTTTTTAGAGCAAGCTTTCTTGCCAGTTTGACATGAATTTTGAACTGTATATGAGAAAACATAAAAATCCTGTAAGGTTTGAAGACAAGACATATCTAAAGGTCTTGTCTTTCTCCTCACATTTGGTTGAATCAAGATTGAAGATTGGTAGTCTCTTTTAAAAAACAGGGTTACAATTACCTTAACTTTCTATCAGGGATCAAAATGAGATTATACAGATAATAACAAACCTCATTCAGGACACTCCATCAGAACCTATGTTCCTCTCCATTCTCCAGCACTTGCTGCTCATCAGAGATGATGTTTATGCCAGGTACTGTCTCTGTGTGGATTTCAGTTGTTGAGCCCAAGCCTTGACAATATTAAGCCTGTCAAGTTGTAAATCCAAATCTATTTTTGCTCAGACACAACCCATATTTGGTCGGACACATATTCATTACTTCATACCTCAGTAGGAACGCCCCCTCGTATCAAAAAAGGTGCTTTTATTGTACACCAAGCCTCAAACTTGAAACAGGAAAAGTGATGCAGGCATATTTAAAACCTAAACCACACTCAGGAGTAAATCAATGCATTGTTTTTTTAACACATATCTTGTATTTCACATTATAAAGTGTTCAATGCTTTTACTGAGACTATAAATTGATAGTTACATTTTAAACTCATCTGTTTACAAATTGATAATGAATATTCATATCAATGGATAGAATGCTCTTTGTGAAAGAGTGTTTTCTTCAAAATGCACATTTCTCAACTGAGCCATATAGTTGTTGACTTTTTGCCGTGTTTTTGTTCACAGACCTCAATACTACAAATTAATTGAAGAGTGCATATCTCAAATTGTCCTTCATCGAGGTGGAGTTGATCCAGACTTTGGTCATAAAAGAATTGATATTGATGTCGAACCTCTCATTGGTGAGTTTCCTCTTGTTTGTTTGTTTTGCAATTTTCATTTTTATGTGTGGATTTGAGAAGCATAAGCACAAATAGTGTGGGGACTCCAGGGCATGAAATTAATTTTTTTTCTGATAGCCACTTGGCTCCTAAATTCTTCTAAGTGGTTGCCAATTCAAAAAAAGTTGGTTGCCATTTTCAAAGACAAACAAAACCTTTTATTACGCTGTCATTGTTCTAGAAATTTAGTTAGGGAAAAGATCTTTAATGTGCTACAAAGTGGACACTAGGATGGATAATATGTAACATTCAAGCTCACCTAAATCCAAGATGGCATCTAGTTATCAATCGATATGCATGTGCTGCATTTTGGAAACAAACTTAACGAGGAAGTTTGCCGCGGATTTATCTTTGCAAATCTTTTTTAATTCACTATATCTCTTGATAAGGTTATGATGAAACATTCTAGTTGCCAATTTGGCGACTAATTTTCAGGATTTGGTTGCCAAAGTGAAAAATTTAGTCACATTGGTGCCTGTATTAGGTGCAATTTCACAACCTGGACTCTTAAGGGCAAATTTTGTGATGGTAGCATGGTCGTAAGAGTCTGCAGAGCATGCATTGTATTAAAGATGGCAGGGAGATTGTCATATGCATGAGATTAGTTGGGGGGATGTCTGTGGGGATGACAGCTATTATTGAGCAGAACATGTAATTCAGAATAGCTCAGAAGTGGAACTACTGGCAATTCCCTCTTAGGAACTTACTTATTTTTAGAGGGTAGTAATTAAATATCAAGTTTATTCTTCAAACTTAAACTTGACCTGTCAAAAGTTGATTTTGAACTTGTTCTCTTATCTGTTCATTGAGTAACAAGCAGGGAACTTGACAAGGAGAGAGTAGAATGTCACAATTGTGTTAATTTTTGTATTTTCCACAGAAAATCTGGTTGAAAAAGCTCAGTATGAAGAAGCAGCTGAAAAATCCATGCAGCTGGAAACTAAGGTTTGTAGACAGGAGAGTTTTTTGATCTTGAGTAACTTCATTTATTTAAAGAAGTTGAAATTTATTTAGTTGCTTTTACTTTATTGGAGCTAACATTTAGTGATGGTGCATGTGAACACTGTGGGTCAAACTTTTCTCAACTATACTAATGCTGCTAACGCTGATAGGGTAGGTCTTCTTGTATTAAATGACTTATCATGCAGTACAATTTCATTTTTTAGCTGGAACTTGAAACAACAATGCGACAAGAATGTGAGGCTAAATTAACTTTAACGTCAACAAATTTTGAGACCAAGATCGCTGCCCTGGAGAAGGAGCTTGCTGAAGCACGTGAACAGGTTCAATGATAGTCATTTTATTTTGGTTTTATGCACAATGATTATTATGTTATGTTAATAAAATCATTTTTTTCTGTTTCAGGCTAAGCGAGGTGGCCCTGTAACAGGTAGGCAAAGTTTCATCTTGTCAAACTATTTATCTGTTGTTGTGCCCATGCTTTTAAGATGAATCAGAAAGAGGAAAAAAGCTCAGTCCAAGTGCTGAATAGCTTCCATACTGTTTGTTATGAATAATTTTTGAAATTTTTTAATCTTGCTTTAGTTGTTTAAATTCTTAATAATTTTCATAACAATTGAAGCCTCTTTCTCTTCAATAAAAATTAATTTTTTGATTTTAATGCTCTGTCAGAAAAGTTCATGTGCATGCTGTATTACTACAAAGTGTCAAGTTTCTTGTTAAAACTGATTGCCTTTAGCCTCTTCTTACTTCTAAAACTGGAAAAAACTTGGAAGACTAATTGACTGAATAATAGGCACCATAATGATATTTGAACTAATCAATTAAATGAAGTGATTCAGTGAAATGTAACAATAACTGTCAGTAGCTTTCCACTACTGTCTCTTGCCTGAAACAATAAATGTAACATTTTTGTTGTCTAAATCTATCTTAAATTTAAACTACATTACTCTAATTGATGGAACTGTTACCTTGAATCTTTGCACCAAGTTGATTGTCAATAAACCCTGATTTTCATTAATATATTTAATTTTCATACAACCAAAGAAATTTTTTGTGTTAAGTTATACTAAACTTAAATCATAAATTGCTTATTCTAAAAATTAATTTTTGACTTGTGTTGTAATCTACATTTTGTTATTAGTCAGTCAATCACAGCCCAGAACTGAAGGTGTTGCTCCGCCTTGCTCTCGAGTTTTTATGATCCCTTCATCATCCTCCACACCCCCTG